TCTTCAGTGTGACTTGCAACTGGTATTTGTGATTGTAAGGAAAAGTACGATGGTCGAGCTTGTGATCTTTGTAAACCGGGTTACTTTGATTTCCCTACTTGTCGTGTTTGTGCTTGTCATGCTGAAGGAACAACATCCGATATTTGTGACCGTAAATCAGGAACTTGTTATTGTAAGGAAAACACTCTCCGTCCAAATTGTGATGTTTGTAGGAGAGGAACTTATAACCTGGAAAAAAATAACCCACAAGGTTGTACCAAATGTTTCTGTTTCGGAACTACCGAAAACTGTCGAAGCTCTGAGATGAGGATTGCTCCAGTCAAAGTAGACAACTATTCAAATTGGACTGCTGTTGGAATATCATTTAGTGAATCTGGAATGCGTTTCAGTTCCATTGACACTGAATCAAGCTCAACTGAAGCAGAATTCAAAATGAAACCAGTCGCTTTTACCCGTGGAGATCAGAGCGATGTTCAACCAAGTTCTGACGCTAGAAGTAACATTTACTTTAAATTGCCAAAAGAATTCCTCGGAAATCGAATAACTTCATACGGCGGTTTCATTCAATATGTGGTAAATGAACTGCCTTCAGGGTCCTCTTCAGTCGATACTCCAATCACACCTGATATTATTTTAACTGGACGCAATGATTCAATTTCACTGACTCGTGATGAACAACCTGAATCTGCTGGTAACTCGCAAAAGATTGAGATCGAACTTTTAGAGACCAAATTTGTCCATTTACTTGATTCGACGCCAGTTAGTCGAGCACAGTTCATGACTTTACTCGTCGATTACAGTCTGTTTACATTCGAGCTTCTTATTTCTCTCCAGTCGAGTTTGTTTCAATCACCAATTTCACCTTTGATTCAGTTTCTAATGAAGCAAGTCCTGATGCACCATTAGCTCTTCGTGTTGAACAGTGCATTTGTCCACCAAATTATCGAGGAAGCTCATGTGAGGAGTGTGCTAGTGGTTATTATCGAGTTCCAACTGGACCATATCTTGGTTCATGTATTCCTTGCGAATGTAATGGCCATTCAAATGAATGTGACCCATTGACAGGAAAATGTTTCAATTGTCAACATGAAACAACCGGTGATCACTGTGAGTTGTGTAAATCAGGTTATTACGGAAATGCAACAATTGGAAAGCCCGACGATTGTTTAATGTGTCCTTGTCCATTACCAAACAATTTCGCTGATTCCTGTGAAATCCGAACCAATGCTCGACTTCAAGCAGAATGGAATTGTAACTGTAAACCTGGTTATAGTGGGCAATTATGTGAGTTCTGTGCGGCTGGTCACTTTGGTTATCCAATGCTTGCTGGCAACTACTGTCAACCATGCAACTGTAATGGTAACACCGATCCAACAGATCCTGGTTCATGTGACTTGTATTCAGGCGAATGTACCAAATGTCTCAACTATACTGCCGGTAAATCTTGTGAGTATTGTGCTGATGGCTATTATGGAGATGCTATTGAACTTAAAGATTGCCGACCTTGCGAGTGTGACGAAACTGGTACAGCAGTTTGTGATAGATATTCTGGAAAATGTGAATGCCATCCTAATGTTGTTGGTAAGTTCATTGATTTATGCAAATCGAATATAAAGTCCTAAACATTTACTAGGTTGACCGTGTTTATTTGCCAATTTTAAATTAAACTTTATTTTTCTTATTCCATTGTTCGCGATCCTAGGCTTAACCTGAATTGATAAATCTTGAAATTAATGCTAATCATTAGATTTTACTGTGGGCTATAAAATATTTTTGTCATAGTCTTATGTTGTAGACTATGACAAAAATAGTCTACTTTATGGACATTTACAATACAATATCAATCAGTTTGTTACTGAAAAGACACATTAAACACAATTGTAACATTTGTTATAAACAAATTGCAACAAATGGCCAGAATCGGGTAAAAATCGTTTTCTACGAAATTATTACTCTTTGAGTTTGCTGGGCTATGAAAGTTGTGTCCATTAGTGCAGTTTGAAAGTTTCTCTGATCAATAGTTATCGAGGAAATCGAGGTCAAAGTTTAAACTTCGATCGCCTTTTGTACAATTGTGGAAGAAGATTTTTGCGTGAAACTAATTTTGCGGATGTAAATTTTGAGGGTCAATCAGAAAATGAACTTATTTAGAGAAATAAAATTTTCTGTTTTTGTAAAACAGATCAAGTTCGATTTTTAGTTAAACCGACTTTTTTCTGTGACCATAAAAGTTAGAAATCTGAAACTTATAAATCGTCCATAAAAATTGTGGGTTCACATTAAGGATCGAATTATTTTTTCAAGTTATCAATAGTTCTTCTGATTTTGGCCATTGTTACTCTAAACTTTGAGCCTCGATATTTCGACAATGGTAGCACCTAAAGTCACCATTCTTTGGTTAAAGTTTAGATTTTGTTATGGCTATGATATATTGAAATACATAATCATCCAAGGTTCTGTGCAAAAAAAGTTATAACATTTCATTACTTATTTTGCCAGATTTTATACTTGATATATAAAGTTAAATGATTGCTCAACACACAAATCTTTTTGTTAGGAAAGTTTCATTATTGACTGAATAAGCTCAGATTTTCTCATGTATTCAGTCATAACAAAATCTAATGTTTGGTCGAAGAATGGTGATTGTATGTGATATCGTTCTCGAAATATCGAGGCTCAAAGTTTTTAGGTAAATCTCTAAAATTAAGAGAAATTTCGATAAATTGAAAAAAGTATTTGGTCATTGATGTTTACCATCAATATTTACACAAGCACAATAAGTTTCAGATCTCTAACTTTTAACATCAAAGAAAAAAGTCGTTACAACTAAAAATCGAACTTGATCTATTTTACAAAAATAGAAAATGTTATCTCTCAAAATAAGATCATTTAATCGTTAGACATTAAAAGATACATTAGCAGAATCAGTTTCATACAAAAATCTGCTTCCATAGCAGAGGGAAAGGTGATCGAAGTTTCAACTTTGACCTCGATTTTCGAGAAAACTGTACATCGGATGAATCATTTAATAGTACCAATGGACTCAGTTTTTATTTCCCTACTAAACCACTGTAAGTCTCAGTTCTTAATAAAAATTTTCGAGCCTTTGGCATCATCTTTTGCATTTCATTTGCAAGCTTAACCAGAAAAGTGGTTTATTTATTTAAATATGAGTTAAGATGCGTTTGTTTTGTTGAATAAGTTGTTTTTCGATCATTTACAACCCAGAAATCACGTCCCACATGCAAAAATGGAAAGTTATTAAATTGATTTGAATTGCTAATTAGTAAAGAATTGGCTGGCAAAAGAAAAGTGATCCTAAGTGATGCCATTGTCGAAACATTTAGGCTCAAAGTTTTAAGACCAATGGTCAAAATCGTGAGAACTGTTGTAAGATTTATAATGAAAAAATATCGATTGATTAGTCTCAATTTGGCAAAATAAACGTGTCCAACCTGGTCAAAACTAACATAATCAGATAATAACTTAATTACAATATTAATTTTTAGGTGATTCTTGTGACGAATGCAAGCCGAACCATTATGGATTCAACACTGGTAAGGGTTGTACTCTCTGTAATTGTTCAATTGCCTCTAAAGGTGAAGATTGTGATTTGGATTCTGGAAACTGTCGATGTCAACCTGGAGTTACTGGACGAACTTGCGATGTTTGTGAAGTCGGTTACTGGAAATATAGCAAATCAGGTTGTGAATCTTGCGGTTGTGTTGAAAAATATTCAAGAGGAGTTGTCTGTAACCAACAAACGGGAAAATGTGAATGTTTACCTGGAGTTGTTGGTGAAAAGTGTGACAAATGTCCTTGGCGTTGGGTATTTGTCGATCGTGAAGGTTGTCTCGAGTGTGGTGAATGTCAACACGCTCTTCTTAACGACACCGATGCATTGGAAAATGACATTATGCCAATCGTCAATGAATTTAGCAACTCTTCATCCGGTATTCACGCAAAGAAAGCGTTCCTCACTTTGAATAACACAGTCACTGAATTTAACAAGCAGTTGGCACAAATCATCGAAGGATCTAAAACAATTGACCTGACTCCTCTTGAGACCGAAATGACTAAAATAACAAACGCATCCGACAATTTACCAGCATGGCAAGATCGTCTTTCTCGTTTAGCTGCTGGAGTTGTCATCAAAGTGGACGAAACCAAAGAAAATGCAACACTGATTCGACGTTTAATCAAAAAGGTCAAGTCAGATGTACAGCTATTGTTTGAACAATTGGATAACGTCGATTACAAATATAACACTCAAGCTGATGAAGAAAGTATTAAGTTCATGATAACTAAAGCAGAAGAAAACAAAAACGCAGTCGAAAGGTTTGGTGCCTTTACAAATGCTCTGAAAACAGTTGCTAATGAAACAGAGTCAACGATGGTTGTTTTGGACAGAGTTGAAGATTACATTGCTCCTTATGTTAATGAAAAGGCCACTTTGAATGAATCGGAATCACGATTGGATCAACTTGAAACTATTTTAACTGATGCTAATGAAAAGATCGTTTCTGCAATGACTATTGCTTTGGATGTACAACGAGGGTTGAATCGAAGTCGGGAAGCTGTTAAAGAAGCTATTGTTCCTCGAAGTAGCTCATTGAAAAATCTAGACTCGGCAATATCTGCAAACTTGAAAGAAGCCAAAACTAGAATTGATTCATCTGAACCCATCATGAAAGAAGCTTCTGGTTCCTTTGATTCTTTAGTAGAAATTTCTAATCGTATTAATGGGAAAAAAGATTCTCTTGAAAAGCTCAACCCTGAAGATGTTCAAGAAACAGAACTACTTGAGATCGTGAAGAAAGCAGGTCAACATGCATCCAGTTTGAATCGTACTGCCACCGATCTTGATTTCATTTTCATGGAGGCCATTAGACAAGGTGATCTCAACCGAACAATGAGAGCTGCTACTGCTTATGAAGTTATTGAAAACTCGATTGAATCTGCCGAGAAATCAATGAACAATGTTATTAGTCGCACGGCCGAGAAACCATGGGAAGGAATACGAGATAAAATATCTGCAACTCGATCAGCTAGCACTGGAAATCGAACCGAAGCAAGTGCTCTTAGAGCTAATATTCTAAATAACGGAGCAACCAGATTGAGCCAATTCAATGAGACAATCCGTTCAAGAGGTATTGAGAGTGGATCACAAGGGGAACAATTGAAGAAAATCGATGAAGATTTAGCGTCAATTGAAATTTCAACTACACCCGATTCGAGTCGCGAAGTGATGGAAATTGCTGAAGCAAGTATCTTTCAGGCAAACAAGGTTTCCGAACGAGTTGATAAACTGATTGATGAAATAAATTCCTTGTCAAATGCAACTAAACAATTAACAGAAGCTGAGAGGAAAGCTTTCATTGATATCCATGAAAGTACATCAATGACTTCATTGTACGGAGAAAGAGGGATTGGACAAAAGATTCGTGATGCAATGGAAAGAGTTACTAAAATGGTTAATTCACTTAATTCATCAAAAAATGAATTAAAGAAATTGAAAGATTCGGTGGTTAAAGCTCGAGACATGGCAAATCGAATT